ACACACACAACACACACACACACACACCCACACACACACACAACAACACACACACACACACACACGGACAAAACACGTGAGAGCGAGTCATGACAGCGATGTAAGAGAGAGGTTGCCGTGGGACATAATAAACATCGTTTAGTGAAGACACGGAATTCGGCCACATCCCTCGCCACCCCATGTCCATTTGCGTTAGTTTTTAATGTCGGTTTTCCCCGTCGAGGGGTAGCCGCCTGATTATGCTCGCTAACAGCGTGTTGATCCAAGGTGATGGACTGCCTTCCATTTCTCGGTTTCACTTTTGGATTATATTTACATGCGATGGTAGAAAATTAGGAATAAGAGGCCGTCCCATGAATTTTAAGAAAAATAATAGTATTACCAGAAGTAAGTTAGCAATACTAATAAATTATAATGATAAAAATAAAATAATACTAATAATACTAATAATACTATAATAATAATAATAATAATAAAATAATAATAATGATAAAATATAATGAAAAGAAATAATAAATAATAATAATAATAATAATAATAATAATTATTATTATTATTATATTATTATTATTATTATTATTTTATTGTTCTTATTTAGCCTGCTCATCCTCAAACTTAGTTTGCGCTCTCTCTCTCTCTCTCTCCTCTCTTCCTTCTCTCTCTCTCTCTCTTCCTCTCCTCTCTCTCTCCTCCCCTCTCTCTCTCTATCTCTCTCATCTCTCTCTCTCTCTCTCTCTCTCTCTCTCTCTCTCTCTCTTCCTTTATCGTCTCTATGCGTTCTTCACAGAAATCCACTTAACTCAAATAATTTAACAGTTACGCTCATTACCGCTAATCAAATTCACCAGCTATGATAATCCGCTAGTATCCAGTTATCTTCCAATCGATTTCTGAAAGGTCCACTAATCACAGGTGAATCGTCCATTCACTTTAACATTCCCCAGTAATCTCAACATTTACCAGAATCCCTGTCTTATCAGGTAATTTCCACTAATTCCCTTTGGATCAATATTACCATGCTACACTTTGTAATCTCCACTAATCTGGAAAACCTGCATAATCCCAAATAATTAATCTCTCTCTGGAAGAGATAAATATTTCCCAAATAATATCCAAGGACTCAAAGATTAATCAGGAAACACCATAAACATTACAACGGGTCCCAAAAATTTTAGGTTCCCACTTGATTGGGGGATAATTTATATAAGTACCAGGAATAATCTTCCCCCAAAAATATCCTGGATAACCAGTGATCTCCCTAAGAACTCAGTAATATCCACTATTAATGTGGTAATGATATCTACAAAATATTATAACTCATAGGTAGAATAATGGTACTTAGGTAGATGGAATAATTTCCTAATACTTCTGCTACTTCTTCTACTACTAGTACTACTAATACTACTAAACTACAACTGCTGCTGCTACTACTACTACTACTACTACTACTACTACTACTGCTGCTGCGCTGGCTGCTGCTGCCTGCTGCGGCAAATACACTTCTTAAATTACAGCTGCTGCTGCTACAACTACTATACTAGTACTACTACTTCTGCTCTAGTACTACTACTCTTACGGATACACAGCTACTAACCCCTCTTTTTTTCCTCTTCCTCACCGACCGTCTTCTGTAAGGACGTTTTCCCTCTGTCGCTTGTGACTTGACAATGTGCAAGATAAACCAAAACGTTTATCTTAGGTTTCTTTCTAAGTGTGGGTTAGCCTTGAGAACTTCGGTCTGTTCTTAATAACCTTTAATTGTCTAAAACGAACAGGAACGCCGTCTAAGCCTCGATTTAAATTTTGAATGTTAGTTTGTAAACTGTTGAATCCAATGACTTGTGGAAATGAAGTCAGTTATAGGTTCTTTTAATATATTTTATTAAAAAAGTTTTGCTTCCTGGGGGTTTTATCAATCCAGAGATACGAGAAAAGCTTCCAAGGAGAAACGTCCTCATTTGATGTCCCGAAATGTTGCATGTCTGTATTTATTCCCACAGTTTTCGAACTTATCACTGTATTTGAGACTTTATTCTTTCGTACCGCATTAATCTCCAGTAGTGAATACTAATCAAAGTCCTGATTCCGCTGTATTCCGTAATATCCTTCCTCAATCAGCAAAGACTGGATCCTGGGCCTGAACTATAGATATGTGGCCGTCGAGTGCGTCCTCATGCTGCACCGCATCTATTCTTCATTTGGTCGCTAATGCCCTGGAAGTTAAGTTATTGCCCAGCATAGTCCGCTGTATTTTCCTAACCACTTGGTTCGATTTTGCCCTGGACGGATAAGCTTCACCCTTGGTTACCCTGGCTTTTGACTCACTCTTAAGTCAAATAAAATGTTCTCTCCCATATGTGTCGTAATCTGAATTATATCTGCACGTCGTTGTCAAATAAACCGATTTGCTCTGTGAGGCCGAACTACTCTGGAAAATTTAACTTTCCCAAAATTATTCTTTAATGGATTAAAAGATATTTAATTTTTTTTATTGATATTTCATAACAAATTATTTTGTCACTAAACTAACTTAAAAATCTCACATAACCTAACCAAACCTAATAAAGTTTTTTTTTTTACCCAATCCACCAGGTATATCCATAAAGGAGTTTAAATTTATTTAATATTACTTAAATCAATGCAATTTATTATTTTTTTGCTATAATCAGGTTCAATTTTGAGATGCATAAACAAACTTTTATCAAAAGTTTTTTTTTTTTTTTAACTGTATACGCTTTAAATGCAACTTTGGAAATTAACAAGTCTTAAGAAGAGAAGGAATATCAACTAAGTTTTCATGGTAAGGGAGAACAACATATTTATAGTTGAAAAAGGTTGTTGTCCCTTTTTGAATTGTAAAAATTATTTCCTGGAATTTTAAATGATTTATCAATTAAGTTTTTTGATATTTTAGATCATTTAGCTTTTTTCATATATTTTTTTTTTGAGAGAGAGCTTCTTCATGTATGAATTTTGGTCCACAAATACGCAAAGCACTCAAAAAACATGTTGAGAATACTGACATTTTAACGCTTTCTTGATATGAAAAAAATATAGTGAACAAGGAAACATTATTTATGATTTCTGTAACTTAGTTTGATAAGGCTTGTGAATACCAAAATGGTATATAATACCGACAAAGTTATAAATAAGACACAGCATTTGTATCTTTATTCCGAAACGTTTTCGCGTACACGTAGGCTTCTTTAGTCGAATACAGAAGAGTTTAGCAAGAAATATTAAATACCGATTTAATCAGTCCATCACCCTTAAAGACGTAAATTTGGAGGTGGCAGTCCCCACTGGGAGAACGGTTTGGTCCCATAGTCTGGAAACATGGTGAAAGTTTCAAGCAGCAGTACGAATTTATATACTGTCGAAGGTGAATGAAGGTCACTAGTATGACTCACGAAAACGTGATGACACAATAAAAACAAACCATACCAGGGCGGGATAGAACCCGCGATCAAAGAGTCTCAAAATCCAGTGGCTAACGCGACGGTCTGGAGTTTTGAGACACTCTGATCGCGGGTTTCTAACCTCCGCCCTGTTTGGTTAGTTCCTTACTATAGTTTTCACTAGTTTTTCCAAGAGAGAAAGACGAATGAGAGGGACGGCTTCTCAAGATGACCTCTACTAGTGAAATGCCTCGCAACTTTTTCGACAATATATAAACCTTGACTGCTGCTTTAACTAATAGAAATTAAGTTAAAACAACATAAATATAGCATTAGAAGTGACATAGATTCCTGATGGTTCTGTTTATTCAATGAGGAGATTTTAACCATCCACTTGTTTTGAAAATCAGAGAAGTTGTAGGAAGCAAGTCCATATCGATAAGAAATGTACTAGAATCATGTTTCAATCATAAAAAGTAATGTTAAAAATAATTTGAATTTTTCTTTTTGGTTTATATAAATTTGGATTCATTTTTTTGATAATAATAAAATTTTAGGAAGAATTTCAGATACATTAGTACACATTTTTGGGTAGAATGTAAAACTGTGCTTCCGGATCACTGACAACCTACCTACATCATCATAAAAAAGTCAGGTGTTGTTCGTGGGGTGGCAGAATTGTACAAAGAATTCTTTCAACACTTGTTCAACCTTTGGACGAAGACCTACTTCGACTAGTTGATGGACCACTAGACCCCGCCTCCATCTCTTCATCTCACCTCAACTATCAGTATATAAGCCACGTCTACGGCCCTATTCTGTACATTCACAAGATTATGGTCAGGAACACAAATCACTACTCCAGTTAGGGACTGATTTAACCTCCATTCTCCTCCTCTCCTTACACCTTCCTCTTTGTATTGACGGATGTAGCCACTGTGGGCGAAAACGTTTTCCTGAATAAAGATCCCCCATATGCTGCATAAGTGTCTCAATCTTCAAAGTTTACTTTGACACAAAGAGTCTGTGTAGCAGCAATGTAAATGTTTCAGCTGTTTGATATATCTTCTTGTGCTCACATTCCTTGTTATCGAAGAGACAGTCTAGGAGGGATAACTCGACTTCAGTCTGCGTCGTTTATTTCTGAATTCCTCCAGTTAATAGTCCTCGATGTTGCGAGCGTGTGTGAATTCATCTAGTTGTGGTGCAAGGGTCAGTTACAGCTCCTGCCTCACCTCTTCACTTGCCGCTACTAGGTCACACTTCCTTCTCCATGAGCTTTTCTCATACCTCTTCTTGGAAATACATGGTAGAAAAATACCGACACAATGGCAAAATTACACATAAGCAGTAAATGTGATTTCTTTATTGACAACGTTCCGCCACACAGACCCAACCTACCCAGCATTCACCACCTGAGTCATGGAGAAGCGTGTAGTAAGATCAACAAGGACCTGCACGGACTTGGCGTGCGTAATGTTGCTCATTGCCATCGTTATCCCACATAACTACATACGCACCTGCCAGTCCTGTGCACGCCCTTGTCAGATTCAACCAGCCCAGCATTCTCCACCTGACTCCATCCTATAAATACTCACGTACCTTCACCCAGGTAGATCTGTCTGTTGAAGATAGAGAACACTTATGCAACATATGGGAATCTTTATTTGGAGAAAACGTTTCGCCCCACAGTGGCTTCATCAGTCCAATACAAATCAGAAGGGTGTAAGAAGAGGAGGAGTTTGAGGTAATCAGTCCCTCAGCCTGGAGTCGATGTGTTCAGTCCATCAATCTTTGACTCCAGGTTGAGGGACCTGATTACCTCAAACCCTCCTCTCCTTACACCTTCTGATTTGTAATTGGACAGGCTGAAACCCCTGAGTGCGAAACGATTCCTCATTAAAGAATCCCATATGTTACGTGAGTGTCCTCAATCTTCAACTTGTTTGTCGTTTTTAAACATTTATCAATCTGTTTTGACTTAATAAAGCTCATTGGGGTGGGCGAACGTTGTCAGTAAAGGTTCACATTAGGGCATATGTATTATTTTTCCATACCTCTCTTAAAGCTTGCATTGCTTCTTCCCGCTATAATCACTTCATAATAACAGAAGAATGGAGGAACACTGCAGAAGTCCTACTGGCCCATCACACTCCTGACAACTCTGTTGGTGTGTGTGTGTGTGTTGTGTGTTGTGTGTGTGTTGTGTGTGGTGTGTGTGTGGTGTGTGTTTATTCCGCAGAGATAGTGTCACGTATATTCGATAAAGTGTCCTCGCTGCAACTCGCACAACCTCATCTTGATCCCATTCTAGAATCATACGACTATTAGTTAATATTTACTTTATTGTAATAGCATAAAGTCTGATAAACATTTATATGATCAGTTAGAATTTTAAATAGAGACCGATCTCATTTTTTTCGTGTTTTTTCTGAAATGGTTTCTCCCAGCACCTCCTCCTAATTTACTAACTACGACTTCTCGCATAATCTCGCACCACACATTGCCTCAGACACGAATCTCCACTGCCTCCACCTTCTCCTTGTTGCAACATTCACCAACCATCTTCGCATCCATATAAGAGCGTTGGTATATCTATACTCTCATACTCTTTGCTTCCCCTGAAAAAGTTCTTTGTCTTCCATCAGTTCCCTAAGTTGCACCCGCTCAACATTTTCCCTTCACAGTTCTAATGATTCACCTCATCATTTCCATAGACCCATCTTCTGACTCGTCCACTCTAAATATCTGAATACATAATCTCCTAACTTAATACAGGAGAGTAAAGTATCTGATATTTTCGACGTAGAGGATCCCAAAGGGGGTCGAAATATATAGAGTATTAATCTTTTTATGAACCAAAAGTCTTATTTCTAAAACCAAACCAAGGGTTTGGTAAACAAACAAAATCCACCCTGTCTCTGCGGAATAAAGACATCTCGTACAAATACAATTACAATGTGCAATGAAAATTATTCACTTTACAGAACATAATAAAGTAATACTGATTGCACATCTATTAACAAATTTGCCAAATGCAAGCTATCAACTCAGATAATACCAAGGTATGTAATTCATTTGTGCACGACCCCAAATTAACAAAAGAGCATTTATAAATACATACCATGGAGCCAAAGACCAATACACGCCAATAACAGTGTATAAAACCATAAGACAGGACAAAATTCATTCACTACTATCATAGGCTAAATCAACAAAGCGAGTGAATCTTTTATCTACTCAATATTAGTATCCCTGGCAAATCTTCAGAATGTTTTTAAGGGCTGAAAACAACAACAACAACAACTCAAAAAAACAAAACCAGCGAGAAATTCCATCCTAAAGCTATTTTCATTCTTACCAAATGAAGCTAGTAGTTTAATAGATGTCATCCATTTTGACTTATTTTCTTACTCCCTGACATTAATAAGCTTATTTTTCTAACTAACATTCGGAACAAAATTTTTGTAAAACAAATCTAGTAATTTGACGTCTATAGACACACCACCGAAAAGGTAAAAAGCAAGAAATGGGTGAACACAAATCGGATAAAATATTTTCAAACTTGTTACTCATTTCTGTATATCCAAAGCTAAAGCAGAAGGATACTATGTAGGAAGTGTCATATTGGCAAGGGCTCATACCAGCATCAGCTGGGTAGGCAGGAAACTAGAGCTGCAGAGATTAGGAATCGGGCAGGTAGAGGATCCTGAATGTTGGGGAAGTCGATTTCCCCTTTACAAGAGAGGAGTACGAGTCAGACAGGCTCCGACGAGAAATCTTAACACTAAAACTTTCAAGGACTGTCAGAGGCAGCAAGATAAGATAAGGCAAAGAATGTTGGCTGTAAACCTCCCTTAGCTTATAACGGTAGTCTGCTGACAGGGAAAACCGTGGTGGAGGTGAAGGGTGTGAGGATAGGTGGTGGTGGATAGGTGTGGGGTGTGGGGTGGGTGTTAGCGGTGGTAAATGGTAGTGGGTTTGCAACTTGATCAAGATGAGGGTTTTAGTAGAGAAAGGGTTGGGGAGGTGGTGTCTCTTTTGCAGTTGTTTTCTTGTGGTGGTGTGTGGTGCTGCTTGCTGCTGTCAACAGATATAGTCACTATAGTGATACCAGCAGCAGTTCTGCCTTCATATGTATGTTATTACTTTATTTGCAGTTACTTATTTGCAGTTACAAAGCAGACTTATTTTCACGGTGTTTTTGTCTTCCTGAAATTTATCGCCATCAATTTTTTTAACATTTCCTATCTTCATCACCTACTTTTTTTCTCTTCAACAATTCCAGTGATTCTCCTACGCTGTCAGAAAATACAAAATCTAATTTATTGTTTGTTCTTTGTTCCGACCTTATCTGGGTATCGTGTCCTGCTCTTTTCCCTCCTGTCATCCACCTTCATTTTAATTCCACATGTTCATCTCTATGCGTGGGCCCCACACACCAAATGCACATTTCCAATTTTGGCCTAAAATCCTTTGCAAAGGGATTTTTTAATAAGCATTTCTCCATCCAGATATTTGAAAGCATTTCATAATTTCTGTGAAAACATATGTAAGCTCACACAAATCTATTTACAAGATCTCCCCGTTTATTCATTTTTGTGTGTCCGTGCACCTGTGTCCGTACTTGTGATCGCGCGTGCTGTGTGGTGTGTTTTTTGCAGATGCCCCCTAGAGGAACGAGAATTCCTATTTGCCACAAAACAACACACCCTCCCCTTCCATTCCTTCCTTTCCCCCATCCTGAAAAAACCCCACTCGTTGCTGTGACGGAAGTTCATTCACCGATCCACTGCATGCATTTTCGTCTCTATGCAATAGCTGAAAAAAAACAGCTGGGATTTCGGAGCTGGAATAAAAAAAACGAAAAGGTATCAAAGACACAGGCCCTATTTATTTTTCCCTTTCGAGTACGTTACAAAGAAATCACGTTGTACAGCATATAAAGGTGGAATTCAACACAGTTTCAGGAGTAGGTATATTATCACGTTCGTGTAAGAAGCCGGGAGAGATAGGGAAGTTTAATCCTGAGTTTACAGCAATCTCATGAGCAAGAACATGAAAGCACTTTAAGAATAACAGCGTTTAAGGAAGGTGAAAGCAATTTATTAATCAGAAAAATTAGTGGAAGAACATAAAAGCAAGTAAATGAACAGAAAAGCCTCCACAGAGCACCAAGTACGTAAAATACAATGCTTCGTTATAAGTCGTGAAATATTACAAAGGCTCGTAAAAATCACGAAATTCAGAGCATTTTAACACAACGCTTGACTCTGGGACTGAGCCTATCAAATTTTCGGCCATCTCGCCCCCCGTCACACTACATCAGAACTGTTTTTTTTTTTTATTTTTTTTCGTTTTTTTTTTCACTTTTTGACGTTATCCTCCATACTTTTATTTTTTTGCATTCATTTATTGTATATAAATGTTGTCGGTGGTAAATCATCACCATTACAAACATTAATTTCAGGAACAACGACGTAACTCCACCAATATAATAATATAATTTCAAGAATTAACATGCAACACGATAAATTTTGTAAAAAAAAATAATCAAACCAACAATGATACTTAACATTTACGAATTATTAATAAATTGTTAAATCTTTTTTTTTTTTCATATTATGCTAATAGCGATTATTTTTTTCTGTCCTACGTTATTTTTGCATACTTTAGTACGATCCCACTGGCAGTCTGATTTCATCCTCACAATGAATAATAATATAATAATAATAATAATAATAATAATAATAATAATAATAAATAAGCATAATAATAATAATAATAAAAAGTAGAATAATAAAAAAATAATAATGCAATAATAATAATAATAATAATATAATAATAATAATAAAAATAATAAAGATAATAATAATAATAATAATAATATTACTAAACTAGCATTATGTACTTGCCTCATCACCTCAAGAAATTCCGTAGCCAAGGAACAGCAACACGTCAAAAATGATATCGTCTTACTGGCTTTTACGAAAAAAAATAACTCCTTGAGCAACTTAGTTTTAATGGACTGCATAATAATTTTTAGCAAGAACGGAACTCTATTAAACATTTTCGTTTTGATTTGAGTTTGGTAAATTTTTGGTTAAATGGTACCGACTGCTGGTTTCTGAACACCTGGTTTTCCGACTTCTGGGTTTCGAGCAGCTGTTTCGAGCATATGTTTTCCAGCAGCTAATTTATAACGAATAGCTGGTTTCTGATCAGATGGTTTTCGGCAGCTTGTTTTACCCAATAACTGGGTTTCGAGCACTTTGGGTTTCTGAACAGATTTTCTTAGCAGTTGCTTCCGAACATCTTGTTTCTAACATAGAGCCTCTTAGCAACGGTTTTTAGAACACACACGGCTTCTGACAGCTCTGAATTTCCAACAGTCCCCGTTTAACCAATAACCGGGGTTTTCCAACTACTGGTCTCCATGCAGGACCGTAAAAAATGCTTCTACAATATATATTACCTAAAACTTTCGATTGCTTTGTAAACTGTAAAACGTATATATCAGATTAACCCAAACAAAATTAAACACCTAATTCATTCTTACCCCTGCACTAATACATAGGAAACCACATGCTCTCTGCCAATCTTTTCGGTGCCTTCACTTTTC